TGAGCGAATATTGCTTCATGTACATCTCACAGAATACTCCTTTCATGGCAAGATATGCCTGGTGTTAGCAGTGACACAGCATCAGAATGTTACCAAAGATTGGACCTCCGTTCAGCAATCTTGGTACTTGAGTTCTGGCTAAGAAATAATTCAGAGCCAAGACTCAAATGCAAGCAGAAGTTTATTTAGAAAGTCACAGAGGCAGAGGGAGTGAACTGAGAGTGAAGTGAGCCAACTGGGTGGTGTGGGCTCAGGAAACAAGGGCCCTTGGAACTTAGGAAAAAGAAAGCAAGGATATGTGCACCTGGAGGAAGGAGATAAGGAAAGGCTTGTGTGTGTGTGTGTGTGTGTGTGTGTGTGTGTGTGTGTGTGTGTGTGTGTGAGAGAGAGAGAGAGAGAGAGAGAGAGAGAGAGAGAGAGAGAGAGAGAGAGAGGGAGAGAGACAGAGAGAGACAGAGGTGCTGAGCCCTCTGGCCAAAGGGTACCAAAGTGCAGGAATTTTAGGAGAGGTCCCAGGGGAAGATCTCAATAGAATATCCAGCAGCTTTCCAGGTGTGACCTTTCATGCTTCCAGGGTCATAGTCTCCATTGGTTGGCCTGTGCCTGGACGGGGTCATTAGTCACTGCAGCTGGTCCGCGTGTCTGCCAAATGCAGCCAGCCGGCCCTTACTCCTTGTCTGGGCCTGGAGCTGGAACACCGCTCAGGCCTAAAGGTTTTTTTCTCGGTCCTAATGCTGAGGGGAGTGTTTGTGCAAGGGCCGGCATGGAGATTGTATGAGGCCATTCTCAGACCCCCTTGTTCTTCCTCTAAGCCAGGGTCCACCACATCGCTGGCGATGTGCCAGGGGAGGAAATGTCAGGGGAGGGACCAAACAGAATGACCAGCAACATGAAAGATGGGGTGTTGTAGGCACCAGAAGCACAGAAGAGGAGTTTGGACAGCACCTGGAGGCCAAAGGGAAGGGGAAGGGTGTCCCTGTTCTTGTCATACTGATGAGAGAGAATTTGAAAAGAGTGACCTCCTGAGGGTGGCGTTGTAGTGAATCAAATTAAAGAAACAAAGCAAGTAAATGTATTAAAGAAGAAAAGCAAGCAAATCTATCCAAATACCCCTGGCTTATGAAGCACAGACAGACTTCCTAACTATAATAGTTTGAGAAGTGCTGCCCGGTAGAGGTTTGGCTTTTTATAATTTTCTGTCTGTAGGCTTTAAAGTTCCTCTGCAGGATATCTTGGTACAGACTAGATCTCAAAGTCTCCCTTTTGCTTTGTTTATGGCTTCCTAGAATTTATGAGAAATGTTTGGAGAATTTATCTTGACAAGCTCTGAGAGTGTCGGCTCCTCTGTTTAAACTTCCCCAGATGACTGACTTCTTTGTTTAGTGGGTGAGATAAACTCCCTTCTTGCTTCTCCCTTCCCCCTCCTGCCTTGGCAGTTCCAGGGTGATTTATGCTATGTATTCTCCGGTTAGGGATAAGAGGCTTAGTTATAACTCCCCCTCTTTTCCCGTCATCTTTGGTTAGTGAGGAAAGGTGTTAGCCATTTGTTCTCAAGATAAGGTTTTGCTGCAAACTGGATGCAAGCTGCCCAAACGGTTTGACCTTGTTTCATTTGCTTATGTGAGTTTCCCTATTCCCCTTGCTTAGGAGTTTTCCTAGCTTCTTAGGACCCTGTTATAGGGGGGTTTATACTGTAGGACCAGCAATATGCTCTGCTTAGGAAAGAAAGGTCACCCTGGGAGTAAGGGTTGTTAACGGAAAAAAAACCAAAAAACACTGAAACCCGTAAAGAATTTTTTTGTGAGTTTATTTGAGCTTAACTGTCGACATATGCCGGGGAAGCAGAACCTCAACGGACTGAGATAATGCTCCGGAGAATGGCGGGTTACATTTCTATATTTATACATTGCAATCAAAGGAAAGGAACTTAGGTTAGTTTCATGAAATTCATTGGTGATAGATTAGGGAGGTGGGACCAAGCGAAACAGGGAAACCTCTGGGATAGGGTAAAAGGTTAAATGATGGACATGAGCTTCTTTTACAGAGATGGATACAGGATACTCTAACGTAATTAACAGTTGACAGTTAACTTGATAACAATAACAATGAGGGAATGTCTCGAGGCCATTTGTTGTGCCCTGAGAGGTTGGGGTAAAAAGGAAGTTACAAGTTACCCAGACATCTCACAGATGTGTTATCTCAGTAAAATATCAAAGTTGATCTTTGTCAGGTGAAATATCTGGGACATGACTACCTACTATACCCTGTTAGATATTTAATTTTCAAACCATCTTTTGTGGTTATCTTAGGTCTCTGGGTTTGCAAGACTGCCCCGCAGGCCTTCCCTGAGCTTGTCAGGTTAGCATGTGGCTCTTTTCCTTCACAGAGTCCAGGCTACTTTTGCCCCTTGCTATGGACCCAGGTCTTTCACAGGGTGATCTTCAGTACCTGGCCCGTAATTCCTAAGCTACTCCTGCCTACCTAACTGCCTTCTACTCTGGCTAATTCTCTCCCATCCTCTCTTCCTCTCCAGTATTTGTAAATGAAGATTGCAACTATGCTGCAACTATTTTAAACAGTTTTGAATGAGAGCAATATAATATTTTTCTTAGCGTTAATACGAATGTTTATAACTGCACTGTAATCTACTGTAATGACAGACCGCTTTGCTTTGAGTTTACTTGGGTAGCACTTTCTAAGTACATTTTTACTACCCCGGGCTAGTGGCCTGACAAAATGAGGAAGCAGACTCCCTGTGTGATATTTTAAAGGGACGGAGATGCCAAAAGCATTGCAGGGAGAAACATATCCTTAAAGATTATTACCCCTACCTCAGTGTCTACTGGAGTGAGGAGTAGGTGGCATAATATCCTGAGTTATAAATTCTCTGAGGCAGAACATAGAATTTTACTACCTAAATGTAATAAGATGTATTGTGCTATCAGCGAAGGCCATGGAGCTCTGTGTGATTAAAATAAAAAAGGATCCAAGTATCTGCCTGTAACTACCATTTAATGATAATGATTTTTGTCTTTAGCATTTATATTGGGGAGTCCTTACCCGAGCCAAGCTGCAGGCTATCTAATAATAATATGAATAATAATAACTAACAATTGCCTTTCTCTTCCTCCTTAGATCTTATAGTTTATGTTTATTTCCTAAGAAAGTCCTCTTCCTTCCTCTCAGTTAATATGGTAATTGAAGTATTAGTTTTAAAATTGTGTTGTACACCACATGCCCTGTGAAAGGAGTTTTAGCATTAGATTTACATTAGGAAAGAAGACTTAGGAAAGGGCTACTGTGTACCAGTCTTTTTTGCTTGTTATTTTTATTTATGTTTCATGGCAATCTTTTAAGATATATGTATTACCACCCATCTACTTTTACAAAGATGGGAAATTAAGCCCAGCAACCTTCTAAAAATATAGTCTCTTAACTAGCAGTGACCTAGAACTGGCCCAGACCAGGTAATAAAAGCCCATTGTTAAATTTTCAGGATTTTTGTTGATACCCTGATGTCAGCTACTAGTACATTGCCAGTATTCACACCACGAAAACCCGAAAAGGTTAAAAAAAAAAAAAAAAAAAAAAAGGATTTCTCTTGTTCAGTTTGTCCATTGTTCTTGAGGGAAGACAGATCAACAAGATAAAAACAAACAAGCTTTTTACATGTATTTCTCATGAGAGCATGAGCTACCCAGGGGAAAATGAGTAACTCCTCAAGGTGACTTAGAATTCAGGCTTAAATCCCATCATAATGTGAAAAGGACAGGGAGAGAGTAAATGACTTTTAGGAAAAATGAATGGGTCTGTGAATAATAGAGGGGCGGTATGAAGTTTGTGACAAAGTTTGTCTGGGTGTGGTTTTGACTTCTAATCTCTTCTGTGACAGGAGCCAGTCTTCCCTGGTTGATGAAATTCAGAATGAGGGAATTGATGGAAATTGAGTTTCTTCTGGAGGATTTATCTGTAGGCAGATAGGAAAGTTTAGAGACAGCATCTCCCTGCAGTTGATGTTTTTCTGGTGCCTACAACTCAAGATAATATACCACAGAGATTTTGGGGGGAAGCATATTCTGCTACCTTTCACCTTTGAAAACAGGTTTGCCCAATGACCACTGCCAGCTTATGGAATTTCATTCATAGTCAACACTATACAAAAAACCACATGCTTATTCTTTTTCCAAGTTTACTGTTTGTGAATTTATAAAAATTAAGAGCAATTGAATTAAGAAATATAAGATTGTAACACCACCCTCACCTCTCCTCTACTCCCCTTCCCAACCTTGACTCTTTATTTTAATTTATTCTGTATTTTTTCACATATCTTTATTTTCCTTCCTCATTTGATGAAAACTTTTTGAGACTTGAAGTTCTCTTTTGTATGTTTTGTTTGTGCATTATGCCCACAGAGAGACTTACTGGAATGATGAAATTAAGCTGAAATATGATAGAATACATTTCTAGAAATAGGTCAAGATCTAATATTGGCTTTGATTATTGCCAAGTTTCATTCTTTATCTAAAATGAAGATAGTCATATTTTATACACTTCCATTTAACTTATAGATTATAGCTACATTTTATAATTGGATTTTATAATAATTTTAGACTTTAGCTTAAAAAAGTAGTTATGTTTTAGTATAGATGCTGCGTATGCTATAGGTATACAAGTAGAGTATTCAAATAGTGCTAAAATTCTCCAAAAAAAAAAAAAAATCTTAGGTTCCAAAAAAGTAATGAAATAACAGAGTGGGGGCAATTTCATCTACCCTACTCCCCAGAAAAAGTAAAACAAATAAATTTTTAAGTAAGTTAAAAAACAGAGTTCTCAAGTATAACTTTGGTTTTAGAAAGCATGATTTCATATAATTATTAGAATATTACAAAACTCATTTAGAATTGTTCTGTTGCTAATGCTGATGTTTGAAAAATCACACACACACACACACACACACACACACACACGCTAAGAATGTTTATGTCCCTTTTTATTTTCAGGGGAGCCTATGGTCATGAAATAGGGAAACGTCCTTGGATCACAGGAGACGAGACTATTGAAGGTCTTATGACTGACATTGTGGGTAAGTACAAAATAATTGTTTTCCAAAAGATTTATGAAGACTTTATTATTTAATTATAAACAGATTATAAAGACAACTTATTGAATAACATCCTGATTTTCCATTTTAATCCACAACAGTAAAGAGCAAGCATAACTTTAATTGAGAATTGATTGCTATAGAGAATATAACTAGGTTATTTGGTACAGAAATAAAACACATTATTATTTTTTCTTGTATATATTAAAACTAATATTTACTCCCCAGGGAAAAACACATGCATTGCTTTCATTTACAATTAAACAAATTTTATAAAGATCAACTTAAATCTCTAATATTTCATTATATGGTAAAATAAACACTAACTTTCATATGCTAAAGGCCTAAAACACCAATCAGGTTTGGGCTCATTTTAATTTAATCAATGTTGATTTATTTAACATTATGCTGAACATTGTTGAAAATAATATGTGCTATGCTATTTTTGGGGTCTATAATGTGTTGCCTAAAGTGAGTTATGTGTAGTGTTAGTGGTTGTTAAGATAGTTTTAGATGGTAAATATATTTGAAAAAATAGTTATTTAGTTGGGTTCAATATTCAGTATTGCTTGAGATTTTATATGAAATTAGTGTATTAAACAAAAATTAAGATGTAAGCAATTTGAATAGTGTTATTTGGAAATATAGGGAGACTTTAGGAAAACCTCAACTTTCAAAAGGCTTTTCACACCTTGCTCTCTTATAGGCAAGTTTACAAATATCTGTGTTTCACCCCAGTTGTATCTTGGCTAGTAATTAGAGGACAAAATCAACTTGAAGGAGGGTGAAAATGGAATTAAAATAGGGAAAGCTGGGTGGCTTAAGAAGAAATTAATTAATTAATGTAATTCATTAAATAAAAATATTTTCTCACAGTGCAAGAACAAAGGCTGGCTTCTGGTGTTGTTGCCAGCAGTGAGAAGGCACCAGGTGTTAGACTGGAAGGTCAGATTGGATTTGGGTTCAGCAGCCTCGGTACTTGAGTTCTGACTAAGAAAGAATTCAGAGCCAAGAACATTTATTTGGAAAGTCACAGAGGTAGAAGAAATGGGCTTAGAAAATAAGTTATAAAGGCAAAGGAAGGGCTTCTGGAGCTTGAAAGTGATGAAGAGAGAGGGAAAAGACACTGGAGTGCTCCCTGGAGGGACAGCTCTCTAGGTCCTCCCTCTTAAAGGTTTTAAGGAGATTTTAGGCGAGGTTCCAGGGATGATCTCAATAGAATATACAGCAGCATTCCAGGTGTGTTTTTTTCGGGCTCTAGGATTTTATTGATTGGTTGGCACCAGGGCAGGGGATCATTATCCAATGCAGCTGGTTCTGAAGTCAGCCCTGGTGTCTCTTGCCTGGGTTTTCTCCTTTGCTTTTCCTGGAGCTGAAATACAACTAAGGCCTAGATGTTATCTCTAGGGAGGAAATGTCATGGGGTCCATACCTCTTAACCAGCCATATGCTAGGGGAGGAAAAGTCACCCTGGGAGCAAGGTCCCTCCCCACCACCCCCCTAACCCCCATTGATTGCTCATTATTGGGCACCTGGGCTTTCCACCTTGGTGACTTTCTGTACCTGGCCCATCAGCCTTGTCTGCTTGTATCTGTCTAACTGCCTACCATGGTAACATTAAAAAAATAACATTGAAATAATTACAAATCAGTAATATTGCCATTGCTGGAAAAGGAGCAAGTAGAAAGCCTAGAAGGGCAGTATTTTTGGCAGGAGTCCTGGAGCCAGGCAGACATGTAGGGTGAGACCAGGACTGTCCCAGGAAGCCCCAGGGAGAATCTTCACAGCCTTGGATGCCTGGGACTGGCACAGAAGGCCAGCTTGTTATCAGCCAGGTAGATCAGTTGAGTTCTAGGAAACACAGCACTTGATCAGCTGTCAGCATTATTTAGAGGGTTGTGTATTCTAATGTAGAAAATCCTGGATTATGTTTAAAGATGTGTTAAATAGTTGTTCAATGATTCTTTCATTGTGTTCATTTTTTAAGAAGCTACTTAACCCATCTAATAAAGAGGAAATATGCTAACTGACCCTCACACCATCTCAAAGGTGGCGGCACCCACAGCCAATAAGGAGGGGGTATGCTAATTGACTGTCTCATCCTCAAAGATGGCAGTGCCAATAGGCACAAGATGGTGGTGCCCAGTCCTCTCAGCCCCGCCTGCACTCCTGTGTCCAGAGTCCCCTGGTCCCCTAAATCCCCCAGCTGACCAGAGCTGGCCCAAGGCACAAATAAGCCTCAGATGGTGGTTGCCCAGCCACCCAGGGCCACCCGAAGCTCAGGTAACCAGGGCCAGCTGAGGCTTATGCTGCTGGCAGTGGCAGCAGCAGAGGTGTGATGGGAGCATCGCCTTCTCCTGATCGCTGGGTCACCTCCCACCCCTGAGGGCTCTCAGCTGAGCTGAGGGACCCCTACTCCAGTGCATGAATTTTCATGTACTGAGTCTCTAGTATTCAGATAAAGGCCTAACATGCAAATAAAAAAACTAAAATAGCCCCTGGATTAATTTAACCTGAGAATATGATTTCCTTAGTTGTGGATTTTTATTGTTGTTATTGTTTTTGGTTTTTTTTTTTCTTTCCTAGGTTTGCTTTCCGAATATAAATTTCATTCTAATCCCATTATTTTTGTGCTTAATATTTATCATTCTCTAAAGAGTTAAGATGTTTATATGTAGTCCAGGAGAGTGGTAAGGTGATATTATTTAGTGAGATTTATTTATAAAGCCAATAAGCCTTACAAAAAGATTTCCTTTGAGCACTTGAAAGTGTATAGCTCTTGCTGCTTATTAAATGCCATGTTTTGTTGTTGTTGATGATTAGGAAATAAACATACCTCACAACAATCCCTGAAATTTCTAACCAGCCACATCTCATAATTTTTAAGGAAAATGAAAAAAAAAAAATTTTTTTTGTTTAGAAAGGTTAAGAGACTGAATTTATTTAATCTTTAAAAAAATATATTTATTAACTTTAACCTGAGGATATTTTGCTTCTCTTTGAAGTACCATACAAAGTTATAACACATATTGATCAAACTCTTACGTTTCTGTTTGTGTCATATTTCATTTGAAATATTGTCAGTGAGTGAAGGCATTTTTTATTTTAATTATTATTTTATTGCTTGTTTTGTTCCTTTGTTGTTGTTGTTGCCCAGAGGAATAAAAATTGACAGTGTTTGCTAAAGCATAATTATAAACAACATTTTAAAAGCTTGGTGTTTTCTTTTAAATTTTAGTAACTGTTACACCCCCAATTTTTTTATTTTTATAATTGTACTAGAGGCCCGGTGCATGAAATTTGTACATGGAACGGGGGCGGGGGGGTGTCCTTAAGCCTGGCCTGCACCCTCTCACAATCCGGGACCCCTCAGGGAGATTGTAGGCCTGGCTGGTTATCAGGCCTATCAGGGCTTATCTTCCCATTGCTGGCAGCTGGCCCCGCCCCTGCCACTGCCACTGCTTGACATCTGTGTGGGGCTCCCCCTCCCTCCCCAGCCACCAGTTACCCCCCTCTGTGGGCGACAGGCATGGGGTGTGATCCCTTGGCTGGCCTGGGCCTCCCACTGTGGGGCAATTGATCTCAGGGCCCCCAGTCGATCACTCCGCAGAGGGAGACCCCGCTTACCCACTGTAGCACCACCAGCCAGATAGTCTGGGTCTCCCTCTTTGCGGTGATCTATTGTCTGGGTCTCCCTCTTTGCGGTGATCGATTGTGGAGCCCCACCATGGATTGCCCCCCAGAAAGTGCCCTGGGCCTCCCTCTGCAGGGTGATCATAGGGGGATGGTGGGGCTCCCTGACCAATCGCATCGCACCCACCTTAGCTGGCCTGGCATCAGTGTGTGTCACAGCATGGTCATCTGGAAGGTCATCCAGACACTCGTTCTGCATTTGGTCATTCGGCTGAGTTGCATATTACACTTTTATTATTATAGATATATTAGTCAGACAAATGGGTTTAAGTCAAGTTGAAAATGAATTAGTTTACTTTATTTGCTTTAGTATAAGGCAGTGCTGGTGAGTGGGTGGTGCCAGCCCTGCTAAGGTGGGTGCCATTTCTCTCTCCTTCACCCCCCTGGTCACCCTACAGATCGACCCTGATCACCAGCCAGGCTTTAGGGACCCATGCAAGAATTCCATTCACTGGGTCTGTAGTTATTAATAATGAACTACAATGTTTGCTAATGACTGAGTAGTATAATTGTGCTGCATTCATTTCCCTTATGTGCCTTATACACAGGTATACCATTTCTCTCCACTAATACTAGCAGTGAATATTTTAGCAGCCAATTGCCACGTCATTAATCTTGGACTGATTTGTTTGGTATGTGCAAGAGGAAATATTTCTCTTTTGGAGGACAAGAAAATTAGGTTTATTTGCATTATACTTATTAATTTGTGCAGTTATTCAGTGTCTGATAAGTTAATGTTCAAGAAAACACATTAATTTTTATTAAAATGTTGTATTATTTTATGTTAATTATTATTAATTTATTTCAGCCCTTTATATTCAGCATGTCTCTATTGAAATAAACCAAACCTATGTTTCTATGAAAATTGAAACTTTTGTTTGTTTGCAGCTTATATAAACTTAAACCCGGGTTAGTCTTTGAGTTTGACATGCTTGCTTTAGTAGAAACACATTCTTTGGAAGGTATTTGTTCGTTTATCTTATTTGTTGCGTGTTTATCTTGTTACAAGTCCCATGCAGGTTCCTTTTTTTCCTCCGTTACTAGAAAGTTCTGAGAATACTTGGTAAAGTTTGAAGTAACAAAAACTTTTAATGGCTTCTGATTTATTTTTTATCTTCATATATGGAACTCTGTATCTACTTTTTATCAATTTCCCTCTGATTATAACACTAGAAACCTGGCATCCTCTTTGGAAGCAGAGGTGGTAAAATAAGAAAATATTTAAAACAACTGTGTGGAAACTACAGTAAAGAGTAGCAGAAGTCAAATTTACTTTTGCTACTTGCTAGGCTATTTCGTATATCTGAGCAAACAGGCAAGTTGTATATTTTGGGCTATGATTGACTCTTCACGGCTCTTAAAACAACAGCCTTTAATTTCATCATAAAACATCTCAAAAATAAGTAACAGGAGGATAATAAAATTATTATGTTGTACAATTTGATGGAGTGGATAGAAAGGAGAAAGAGACAATGAGTAATGATATTTATTCATAGACATAGAAAAGAATATCAATTTCAGATGAGAAGGAAAGCTATTACTAAAACATTTTATAAAGAGGCCACAACTCTGAAAAACATGGGGTAACTTTCTCTTATAATTAATACCATGTTATCAAGATGCCAGAGATAGAATTGCTGAAGAATATTATTAGTATTATTAGTAAGCCTATTTCTCCCTGGGTACATAAAAATCACAAAGAACTAGCTATCAGCATTTCAGCTTATAAAGCTGTTGTAATGTGAACGTAAATTTGCTTTATGAACTTTGTGTTTGACCCTCAGAAAAGCAATAACCCCTAGAAACACTCTTTACAGAACTGGAATGTTCAGCCACGCACCAGCCACCGTTAGAGGCCGAAGGAACTTGCTATTTGAAAAACAGACCGGAAAGTTCTCAAACTTCTCCCATGCACAAATCCTGCAACCAGATCCAAAATAATATCAGCATCTAGTTAATAAAATATACAGAAAGGGATAGGGCAATTGCAAGACTCATCATGAGTCATGTTATCAAACATTAAGCAGCTGGGAGCCCTGACATCCTCATGTTGCAAATTAACTGAAATTCAATTAACACTTAGAAAGACACAGAAGGAAGTCTGTGAGGAACATGGGCCTCCTCTATTTCACTTACGGGGATTACACAATGTAGAAATCTCTTCAAAATGTAACTGTGAACAGAGATTTTCATTATTGTTTGTATGAGAGGGTAAGTTTTTGTCTTTTATTTCCTATCGGTGAGACTTTAGGCAAGTTAGTTCATCTCTTTGGACATTCCTTTCTTAATTGACAAGGTATGGAAAATCAAAGTAGATAACCTTGTCAGATAACTGTGAAGACTTAAGTGATTTCTCATCATACTAGTACATGTCCCATATTTAGAAGTGTTGGCATATAATGAGGCCTCAGTAAACTTCTGCTTGCCAGGCATAGAGATAAGAAGGCACAGCTTACATTTATTTAAGTTTCTCATCCTGGTAAAGCAAAAAATGATGTGCGATAAATAAACAAGCAGGAAAACACTTTTCAAATGAGAGCCCTGGCTCACACCCATCTGGGATGAAGTGGTTCACATCTTGACATTTACTGCAGTGAGTTGCAAATGATCTTCAAGGTAGAGGATCTTTCGAAGACTGATAAACTTTTGGGAAGCTTTTGAAAAGATTTTCCTTCAATACCTGGAGTTATTGAAATTGCAATATTAATTTTTAAAAATGTTCTTAGGCAAAAGAAGAGAAACAAAGAAAAGCAAGTTGAAAGAACAGTTCCTTCTTTTTTTTTTAAAGGTTTATTTTCTTACGGAATGCTGATGACATTTAAATATATTAGAAGAATGGTGGTTTCAGAAATATAATTTGAACTGTAAGAGATATGTCCTTGGGTAACTTTTCTTTTTAAAATACACTAAAAATCATGTGTATATTTAATAAGTAATAGTGCTCTTGGATATTAAGAGCACTTCATTCTTTGGTGCCTTTAGGTTACACTTGGAATAAACATTTCTATTAGTCTTCAGAAACTTTAATATTAACACCACCTTCAGATGTGAACGCATGTATGTTAGACTGACCCTGTCCTTGATTAACTTTAGTAGCAGGTGAGGAGAGTATTTTTCTGAAGACTTGATTGACTTGAATTTAAAACCTTCCAAGGAGAATAATTTCCGTGTGTGCACAAAGTATTCATGTCAGTGAGGGATTCTTTACAAAGAATTGATTCAGTGTTAGTATGTTATTGAATGTGAGGGAAGGAAGCACAGTGCCCAATGTATGTCTAGAATTCTGCCCAGTACATCTGGTTCATCACATTCCCATGCAAGAAAAATTTTAGGTGATCTCAACAGAACACTGCCTTGTTTGGAGGACTAAAATTTTCTAGGAATCTGTAATCATTTTAATCGGAATGTGATCATTAAGCAAAAATGGAATGTCTGAGCTTCTATAGAAATTCTCCTCTGCCTCATCCTGACTCTTCTATTTTTTCATTTTGACATGTTTTCTTTTTTGTGTGCTTTCTTCTCATTAGTTTGCATTCTTTCAAATGCATCTCTTTCTGTTAATTCTGCTGTCTCTTTATATTACTTTCCCTTCTTTTCCTCCTTCTATCATCCCTGCCAAAATATTTTTTTAAATGAAATAAATGGTTTTCAGAAAAGATGCATGCAAATAACTAACAGGAAGTTAAGGATAATATCAGATTTACACCTTAAAATTTTAGAAATAACAGTAAAAAAAATTGTACCATCATGCAAATAAACAAATTAACAAAGCTGGTATCATTTATCTTGCCATAATGCAAAAATATTTTCATATGATAGAAGATATATGTCACTGTATTCAACATAAAGCATATCATATTCATATCTGCATAGTGTGTTTAAGAGAAATTTTGTTACTGTGTGGAATGTAGAATAAGATTGTTTCTAGTGCCACTTGATTTCAGACACTATACGCCTTACAATGACCAGGCATACACCCACCACTTGTTTAGCAACCTTGCTTAGCCAGTGGGGAAATCCATTTGCCAAATGCAACAGGAAAGTATGTTTTTTAATGGATATGTTGAAATCTAGAATCCTAAGTTATATAATTCCTTCCAGTGGCCTCCCATCATGAAAACTAATCCTGCAATCTATCTATTAATTAGAGTAATTAATCCAATTACTATCTATTCTATAACAATGGGACTCTAACAGAAGTATCTCTTTGGGTACAAAATGAAAGACGTATTATACTCTTTTTCTAATATTTAGTACAGCCTTATAAGCATTAAAGTTCACAGCCCATTTTTCTCAGTAATGGTAAAGAGACATTATCCTATTACACAGGTCTAATTGCCTTTGAGAGATATCACAAGAACTAAAAATAGGGAAAGTATCACCATCGTTGTCATTTTGCTCTGAGTTAAGTATCCAATGCATACTTATCTCTGGGTCTGTTTTTAGGGCCACAACTCTCAGCAGTGGCCATTAGACTGGATTATAATTGTGTAGTGGATATCTTAGTTTTGCATGCTTTCTCCATCAGATATGCATTTATATATTAACTAGGGCCGAGTGCATGAATTCATGAAAGGAACTGTGGGCCTCTAGGCTGCAGAGGGCACAGGGGTGCGTCTCAGCCCACCCTCTATGCCCCCACCTGGCCCCTCCCATTACAGCCCCTGGTCCCCTGTCAGCCTTGCTCCCGCCACCACTGCTCCCATGCACTGACGTTGCCAGCATCACTCACACCCGCTGAGGGTGAAGCGGTTGGGGAAGGTGCCAGCAGCAGGTGTGAGTGGCAGCTGCTGCTCTGATTGCCCCTCAGGAGCAGGGGGGAGGTGGATAAACCCTGAGGGGAGATTAGGGCCAGCAGCCACCACTTGCACCTGCTGATGGTGTGGAGTGATGGGGACTGGTGCTGGGAGCCAGCAGCGGGTGCCAGCAAGGCCAGTGCTGGCAGCAGGTGCAAGCTCTGGGCAGGACCTTGGTGCACAAGAGCAAATATTTTCATTAACCACCAGAGGCTTGCTCCTGTGACAGCAACCAGAGCCCCACGTTGGTCTGGTGCCTCCACTCACCTGCTCCACCATCGTGCTGTGGCCGACACCTGCCATGTTCCACACTTTGCGACCTGCTGCCGATGCCACCATGTTCCTTGTGTGCCCCTGGTGGTCAGTGCACATCATAGTGACCAGTTGTTTTGTTGTTCTGCTGTTTGGTCTATTTGCATATTAGGGTTTTATATAGATAAATTATCTGATATCAGTGTGTTTGAATAAGCCCCAGAGCTATTTACATACTTGTATTTTACTTTCTAGCTCTTTTGTCTTATAAGCTGTCACATATCTCACTGGAATAACAGTGAATTATGTTCGACACAGTAGCCTCTTTTTAGGGAAGGTGCATTTTAATTTGACATTAGGAACAACCAGCTTAAAAAATGTGATTGGCTTTCATTTCTTTGACAATTTCTTTTGGAAATACACTTACCACCAAAAAAATGTGCTCTGTGGGAATTTGACAAACTAGCTGATAATAGGATAAATCATTTTTAGTTTGCAGAACAAAACAAAAGCTTCATTACTTTGCTGTTATTGTTTACTATATCAAAAATAAACTGTAATTGTTAGCTAGCTATGTACATATAAGTCCAGATATAGTTTGATAAAATGAGCCAAGTGGGAAAACTTTCATTTCCTTCTGATAACACATCAAATATGTCCTTATCTCTAAAAACACTAAAGATGAAGGAGTAAAGCCTTCCTACTCTATTTTTCCAAGTATCTTTAACACTAATAGAAAAATTTAAATTATGATGTTTCTTTGCAGGAGCCAATGAGAAAGAAATAGTCCTAATGAATGCTTTGACTGTTAATTTGCATCTTCTACTGGTAAGTTTCTTCTCTCATCAAGGTTTTGTACACATTCATTTACAGAACCTGACATTTTTCTATCTTTAATTCATGAGCATCTGGTCATTTAATTACTTAAAAATAAGTAGTGAGGCTATTTTCATTTTTAGAAGGACATGCTGGACCCTAGTAAGCTTCTACATACTTATGGGAGAGTTGACTCTTGCAAAGAGCTCTTTTCTCAGAACATAAGGAATAGGAGCCACAGTGGGTGAAAAGCAAAACCGCTTGCAAGCACACAAAACCATGACATACAAATGCAAGCAAACACTGAGCTTTTTAGAAAGACAGCTTTTCAATATGCTGGACTTCAGCAGGGGGGATTATGGATCAGTATGGTTTTGTAGATTAATTTTTGGAACTTAGGTTAAGACGGAACGTGAAAATAAAACTAAATTGGAGAAAAGGGACCTAGTACCTGAAATGAGTTTCTGTGTTTAAGGTGCTTCTTCTTTTTTGTTAATCCTCATCAAAGGATACTTTTCCGTTGACTCTTATAGAGAGAGTGGAAAGGAGGGGAAGAAAGAGGGAGAGAGAGAAACATTAATGTGAGAGAGACACATTGATTGGTTATCTACTGTACTCACCCGACCAGGGCTGGCAATCAAGCCTATAATCGAGCCTACAACCCAGGTATATGGCCTTGACTGGAATCGAACCCGGGACCCTTCAGTCTGAGGGCAGACACTATATCCACTCTATCCAGTGAGCCAAACCAAAGTATTTAATAAGTGTCAAATATATTCTTGATTTGAAATATGGTATCTATAGTACTTGCTTGATGCTTTGTAAATATTTTTCATTTTAAATATGTTTTTGTAATCATGTCTACATGACTAAGATGCGCAGTGAACTCATTGATATTTTCTTTTAGTAAAATGGAGACATGATTATTAAATATGAGTGAAGGAACTGGCTTATGGAGTATACTAAGTATCATAGTAAAAAAGCATAGTTTTAAGTTCAGACATACCTGGGTTGACTTCTAGCTAAGATACTTAATGCCTGTTTGAATTTGGATGTTTTTTGAGGTGTTTAAATCTTAATTTTCTCCTTTGCAAAAAAATGAGGATAATAATAGCTACCTTGCAGCTATGCATTAGTATGAAATGTGATCATATGTGAAAATTGCTTTAGCACCCATGCTAAACACGTAATTAACAGTAGCAATCATTTTAATTGCTATTATCACCAGCCTCATTCTTCATGAGCTCTGGGACAACAACAAAGAAGGGTCCCAGTGAATGAGTGAGCCACTTCTCCTTGGTGCCCCTGCGAATGCGAAACATTTCATGTTAGGGCTAAAGGACGTTTTAATTGGACCTAAAATAAAATCCTATAAAAGAATAAAGCAGTGCAAATAGTATGTACTAGAAACCAAAACAGTGGTGGAAGATAAATCAATATCAATAAGACTGATATTTCAGTCTCACAATAGAGATATTACCATTTAGTGCATTAGGGAGATAGTTTTTCAATCAAAGTTTAAATAAAGTCGGAGAACTTATACTTTCTGATTCACATTTTCTCCTGAATTTGCCAGTCTCTTCTTTCTCTTTATAATTCATTGGAAATGAGGCTAATTGGAAAGGTACCTTTGACAGACACCTGCAATTAATTAATGCCTTTTAAATGCTAGAGATTATGAAATGAAAGTGTAGTATAAACTAACCAAATGTGTAATTGTGCATTAATGCTTTTCTCAATAAATCCTTTTCATTGCAGTTATCGTTTTTTAAGCCGACACCAAAACGGTACAAAATTCTTCTTGAAGCCAAAGCCTTCCCTTCAGATCATGTGAGATTCTTCAAATTATATTTATATTTTGTCTATTCCTCCTAGAGAAGCATATCATTTGCCTGACTTGAATGTTTATTCCCTCGTCTTTTCTAAGTAAACTTAGAATAAAATGATCTGTCAAATGCTTTTGATTTAGGCATTTTAAAAATAAATTATAGCTTTATTTCTTTTGTTCAAGTAAAACATGAGCTAAGGGAGGAAAGAATTGAACAGGAACATTGATTTATTAGTCTTTTCAAACAACATTCAACAAACTGCTGGTCTAAATCAAGTGCAGTTATAAATGTTTTATTAATTCTTGTTGCTCTTTTATTTTACAAAATCATACCGATACATATCCTAGTGCTTATTCTTTTGGCTACAGAGAATAGTAATATGAAATTTTATTTGTCCATTTTTATAGCATGCTAGCAAGTATTGAATAAATAATTTGAAATTAAAAAAATTATTGTGGTTCATTGAAAAAGGCATGCTACTTTATCAGCAATTTAGTTGATAAGAAGCTAGATTGCTCGAGACACAGACACAGATAAAAGTATATTGTGCATTTCAGTTTTACTCGTAGAGAAACTCAAGTTCCATCTTTATATTATCACTGTTAACTGTACTAGCCCACATCTTGTAACTTTAAGTTATTTAATTATGTCCACATTAATAGCATTACCATACTAAAAAGGATCAAAATTTTAATTAATATCTTGAAAAAATCTGGGGTTACTATTATTGCAACCCATTCAGATCTTGTAGTCTCATTACAAGGAACTTTTTTAGTTTCTTTCCTTTTACTATAATAATTTACTTTCTCTAGGGTGAGCCATTTGCATAGTCTCTGTTCAAGCCTAGCAAGTCCACACTGTGCTTTGGTTATATTTTAGAATTTTGACTTGCCTTGGTGATTTAATTTCTTATTCCAAAAATCTCTTGTAACTCTCTGAAGTCTAGTTGACTCCTATGTTTCCATTTATCTCTATTATTTAGTGTTTCAAAGAATGTTCAGATTCCTGCATACAAATTATATTAAGCAGTTCTCCTCTAATGTATTGTGTTTAGTCACTTTTAACCTTGACCTTGGGTATAATCATATACATTTATTGCTATTTATTTATTTATTTATTTATTTTAGATTTTCTAATTGATTTTATTTATTTATTATTTATTTATATATCTTCTTTTTGAGAGAGAGAGAGGAAGAGAGAGAGAGAGAGAGAAAGAGAGAGAGAGAGAGAGAGAGAGAGAGAGAGAGAAAGAGAGAGAGGAAGAGAGAGGTTGAGAGAGAGAGACATTGATGTGAGAGCAAAATAATGATCAGCTGCCTCCTGCATGTCCCCTATGGAGGACTGAGCCCCAATCTGCACATGTGCCTAGAGAGGAAATCTAACTGGTCACCATTTGGTAGTGTGAGACAATGTCCAAACAACTGACCCACACTGGCCAGGGCTTATTATTTATTTTCAGATATATTTGAAGCCAAACCCTGTGCACTGTGATTAAATAAGTTATCCTTATTTTTCAGTATGCTATTGAATCACAGCTTCAACTTCATGGACTCAACATTGAGAAAAGTATGCGGATTGTAAAGCCAAGAGAGGTATATGAGAAAGAGAAATATATATTCATCATGCTTCTATTTAGTATTGATTATTTTCTTTAGATGTTTACTAGCTTCATTATCTTAATGGAACTTTCAAGAATATTTTTAAAAAAACACCTATAATTCAGTAATAAGTCATTTTGTTTAAGATGGGGAATTAACTCAAAATTATATTTGTTTTCATTTTCCAAGGGCTAGTCATATTACAAGCAAATTCATTTACTGTTAATAGCACTGGAATCTGCCATATTCTTCAGTGGGATGGGTGAGGATGGCAAATTGCATATATCATTTTCAATTTCAGATGCCATTAAAATCATATTAAAAACCAATGATGTTTTTTGGAACTGAATAATGCCATCTTTTATGTCTCTTCTTAATCTAATTATCGAATATCTTTGTTTGAGCTTGGACTATGGTGTAGGAAGTATGTGATGGAGTCGTAAGAGCTCGTGCTTCATTAGTGGCTGATCTACCCCTGAGCAATCCCAGACCCACCAACTTACTGGGTTAGGGACTTAGGGACTTTATCTCTCTGAGATCCCTTCATATTTAAACAGGTAACAAAGGGAACACCTAATCAGACTTGACAATATGTGTAAGATCTGAAATAATGCACACTTTACATTAACAGAGATATAAAGCTGCTAGTAAGTTGTAGAAACTTCGACATAGAGACCCTGATGCAGCTTGTGAAATTTCACACCAGGATATCCACATAGAATAAATGTTAAGTTCACAAATGATGCTGCCAGTCTGTTTGAGCAATTATTTCTTTCAACAGAGAACATGGTGAGGAATTAAAATCTACTTCATTCACTTCTATTTGCCAACATGCAATAAATTAAGGAAATGGAAAGTTTCCACACCTGTGAGAGGATATTCTTTTCCCTATAGGCATGTATAAATAGCTAATTCCCCACAAAAAGGAATATAGCAACTAATATATCACAAGTCTTAATGTTAAAAGTGACAAGTGATATGAAGACTCATGAGGTAATCATAATCTTGGAGCACTCTTTAGCATTACTAGATTAGAGCAAGTCAACAAGAGAGATTTTCAACCTTTTTCACCTCATGGAGCATACAAACAAGTTACTAAGATTCTGTGGCACATCAAAAAATATACTTTTTGCTGATCTGACAAAAAAAATAGGTATAATTTTGATTCATTCACATCTGATGGCTATTGTTGTGTTGACTATTGTCATTTTTTTTTTTTATTTGACACAAGGTCAGTGCCCCTGACTAAATAGCTGAGTGTTGCATGTTTAAAAATCCTTGCAGCACAGGAGTTAAAAATTATTGCCATATCTATTTCTATCTATCTATCTATCTATCTATCTATCTATCTATCTATCTATCTATCTATCATCTATCTATCTATCTATCTTGATTTCAGAGAGGAAGGGAGAGGGAGAGATAGAAACATCAGTGATGAGAGAGAATCATCAATGAGTTGCCTTTTGCACAGACCTAAGCCTCAACTGGGGCATGTGGTCTGGCCAGGAATTAAACCTTGACTTCCTGGTTCATAGGTCAACATTCAATCACTGAGCCATACCAGCCAGGCCATAGCCTATCTTTAACAAATAAATATATTTGTTAAATAAATATATTTAACAAATATATTTATTTGCTTAAAACTGATTCTTAAAAAAATAATAAGTATTAGTATATAGAGTACTTTCCTTACTATTTTTTGAAACTATGGTAACAAACTATATTAGATTCCTTAAAGAAATGTGAGAGCAAAGCAATGATCAGCTGCCTCCTGATCTTAAATAAAAAGAGATTTAAATTATTATATTATTCATTTTACTTAGAAGACTTTTTTAAAATTACTGAAACCCTTTTAATTTATAAAGTATACATCATTGAAGAACTCAAAGATTTCAATATCAATACTATTTTTATAGATTTCCATTTTGTAAACAAATTCTAAGCTTTTAGTAGAAACTAGAATATGTATCACAAATATACTATTATGTTGGCCTACATGAGATTCAATAATTAGCAAATAGCAAGAATTATTAAAAAAAAATAACTAAAAGAAAACTTATGAATAATAGAAATCCTTCAAATCTTTCTAATATTAATATAATTAGTGATGCATTCAACTCAAAATCATGTGAGATTTAGCACTGGAGAATATTTCTGAAGATTTCATAAATAGATAAAAATTGTTATGATACAATTTGATACTTTATATTTAGCTGATTTCTTTTTATTTTTTCAAGGTGTTTGCAAGACCAAATCTAAATTCATGTACAATTTTCACTAAGTAACCAATCATTGGTATTATGTGGGGAGATGTGCAGAAAATTACCTTAATAATCGAGTTTTACTGATATTTTTTTCATGTTTGGTCTTGATGTTTGGACAGCTGTGGAGGAGATTTAACACTTAAGTTAGTAGAAGAGATCAGTTAGGTTATATTCAGATGAAAGATGCGTATTTTTATTCTACCAAAAATTCACAATATTAGATTGATAAGTGAATATTTATTTCTCAGAAATTCCTTTTGCTATGTAATATTTCATAGACTTGTACTTCCTGCATTTTATTGGTTGGGAATAAGAAGGAAACAATTTATAGGTATGCAAATAGCAACAATTAGTTGGAAAATAAATTAGAGTTCTGCAAAAAATTATACTTTGTAAAACTCTTTTTACTATTTTATTATCATTATTTTAAAATCATGCTCAAATGCTCCTCTCTTGCCAAATTTTGGAAGATCTTTAATTTGAAAAAAAAAAATTACCTTTGACTTATTAATGGCGGGAAAGTGCTCATGGTGAACTTTAGATGGGGAAACGTGAAGTGAGAAATGTATTATTGTGCCTTTAGGGGGAAGAAACCTTGAGAACAGAAGATATCCTTGAAGTAATTGAGAAGGAAGGAGACTCTATTGCAGTGATCCTGTTTAGTGGGCTGCATTATTACACTGGACAGCACTTCAATATGCCCGCCATCACAAAAGCCGGACAAGCAAAGGTATGCATGTCATTTGCTCCTTCTCACAGCACCTCATACATCACCCTACTGACTGCATTTCTAGTGAAATACTTTTGTGTCTATATAAAAATATTTAAAGAATTAAAAAAGAGAGAATGCTTTACATATAAAAAACTTATAATCCTTTGTGCTTTAGGCATTTCCCTTTAAACCTCTTTTTATCACTTCTTTGGTCTCACCTCCTTGCTAGCATCTTCTACTGTCCTAATGTTTACCTCTAGGCAGCAGTGATATCACCTGTATTGAGCTGCTTAGTCAACAGGAAGCAGACAGAATATTTAGGATAGTAGCTACATGCTAAGGCTGTTTGTCACACTGTAACTCATTATAAATATAATTCAGTCTTGCTTAAATCCTAGGTACCTGAAAAGGAGAGATGCAGAATAAAATTTTATCAGTAGATTGAGTTTTGCACAGTTTACCTTAAGGAAGTAATTTTTATCCATAATAATCTTAAGAAATTACACCACCTATAATAAGAGCTTTTTCATAAGTATTACCAAATCATACTTAAATTGTTTACCATTTTTAAATTGTGTCCTTTTATCTATGCTTTTGTAAAAAAGTTATTTTTTAATATATGTTTGCTTTAAAAAAAAGAAAAAAAAAGAAAGAGCGAGAGAGAGAGAGAAAGAGAGAGAGAGAGAGAGAGAGAGAGAGAGAGAGAGAGAGAGAGAGAGAGAGAGGAGCAACACTCAACAGTTACAATTTGGATTTAAAATCCTTAAATATGTCTCTTGGCCTTCTGTATGTCCTCTTTGAAAAAGTGTCTATTTAGGTTTTTTGCCCATTTTTTTTTTTATTGGATTGTTTATCTTCCTTTTGTTAAATTGCAGGAGTATCCAATAAATTTTGGAGATTAAACCCTTATCAAAGATAACATTGACAAACATGTTATCCCATTCAGTGGGCTCTCTTGTTGTTTTATTGATGGTGTTTTTGTTTTTTTGTTTTTTTGTGTGTGTGTTGTTTTTGTGTGCAGAAGCTTTTTATTTTGATGTAGTTGCATTTGTTTATTTTCTCCCTTGTTTCATTGCCCTAGGAGCTGTATCACTAAAGATATTGCTATGGCATGTGTCTGCCATTTTGCTGCCTATGGCTTCTTCTAAGATTTTTATAGTTTTTCATCTTATGTTTAAGTTCTTTATTCATTTTGAGTTTATTTTTGTGTATGGTGTAAGTTGGTGGTCTAGTTTTATTTTTTAATATATATCTGTCCAATTTCCCCAACACCATTTATTGAAGAGACTATTTTGACTCCATTGTATGCTCTTGCCTCTTTTGTCATCTACACAATAGAATGCTATGCTGCTGTAAAAAAAAAAAAAAAAAAAAAGAAGAAGAAGAAAAAAAAGAAGAAGGAATTCTTATCATTTGCAACAGCATGGATGGAACTGGAAAGCATTATGCTAAGAGAAATAAGCCAGTCAGAGAAAGACAAATATCACATGATCTCACTCATTTGTGGAATACAATGAACCACATAAAGTGATGGACAAAAATAGGTACAGAGACAAAGAAACACTGAACAGACTGTCAAACTTCAGTGGGAAGGCAGGGAAGGGTTGGGGGGGGGGGTCAGTAAGAGATTAGACAAATGATTTGTATGCATACATATAAGCATAACCACTGGACACAGACACCAGGGAGGTGAGGGCATGTGTGGGGGGGTGGGCGTGGGAGGACTGTGGGAAAGATCAATAGGTGAAAAAGGAGACATGTTCTACTATTTGTAATACTTTAAATAATAATAAAAAAAAACAACAACTATATAGAATAGAAAAAATACTTAAATAGCAGTTCTATTTGATTCGGCAATGAAGTCATGTATTTAAAAGGTAAGGTGACAATCAAGTTTTGTTCTGAACACTAATAAGTCATGGAATTAATCTATGTGTGAGTTCTACCTAATATATTAAGTTATTGAAGCTAATGAATGGAACTAATGAAAAGAAATTTAGCACCGTTATCAGCAGTCTCTAGGAACTTCTAACCATGACTTCCAACTGGTTTGATAGATAACTGTGAAAGTGGTGCATTAAGAAAGATATAAAGATAATGTCTTCTTAATTTAGATATTAAATGTTAAGCACCAAAATAAAGGGAAGCCAATAAAATTAATATTTTAAAAAGTTATACCAGTAATCAGCAGTCCCCAAATCCCTCCGTATACACACACGTCTCATTAACCTTCATAGAAATGAGCAAGAGACAGAGAAGAAAGACCATGGGTTTTGGAATCAATCACACAGACTGAGGTTCGTCTTGGCTACATCATTTAATTGTTATATGATTTCAAGCAAATTACTTACCTTTCCTGAGTCTCTGTTTTCAGAAGTGTTATTTTGAGATAACAAGACCCAGTTCATAAATTCAGTGTAGACATAGAATAGGATAAAATATCTATTGGGTTGCACACACCTTCTGCTGTTAAGTGGTCACCTCCCCCTTCCTAAAGCCTCAATATGAAGTTACAGAAAGTGGCTCGGAAATTCATTTTCTTTATTTTCATTGAAAATAAAAATACATTTGTTTACTAAGTTGTTATCTGTAATTCTCATTCTTCACTACCTTGAATGTTAAAACCATTCTCTCAGCATTTTGCATGCTTCTGTTCACTTAATATGATAAGTGCCTGCCACTGAAGTTCTCTTGGAGTTTTCAGACAAATAAAGATATGAATGAGCAGTTCCATCTAAATGTAACCACAAAGAACTGATATACTATGGAAGTTAAATGGTGACATAAGGAGACTTAGATAGATCCATTATAAAATGGTTCTAACAAACATTTATGCTATACAACACTCCGCCCACCCCTCTATTGTCATTGGAGGTTGAGGAGAGTTCTTAAAATGTAGACAGACAGATCTCTTGAGTGGTCGATGAAGATAAAGCTGAAGGAGAGGCAGAGAGAATATTAAAGGTGTCAAGCAAGAGAGAGATAGGAAATTCTAGAAAAGGCTGTTAGGAGTGGCTCAGTGAGATTAAAAAAAAAAAAAAAGAGGAAAGTTTTCAGACATGCATATGGTTGGAAACAAAAATGATGTTGGATGGAGCAATAAACACGAGTATTTTGAAGTAAGAACTTTACATTTATGTAAAAGGAAAGTAACAGAAATTGTAAAGAACATATTAAATAAATGCATGCATGAGAAAAAGAGAGAAATCATAAGTGGCTTGATGAGTTATTTTGAATCCTTAAAACCATCATACCTACAGCAAAAAAAATTCTAGAACATTTATAGCACTCAGAATCCCTTATTGTGCTTTCTTCTAACTACTGCCTGCTACCTCCCTTTCCAAAGGACCACTCTCTTGACTTCTAACTATATACAGGGTGTCCCAAAAAATGTATGCACACACTTTGAATAATTATTAATTTTAATGAGTTAAGCCAAAACCAGTTTGGCTCAGTGGTAGAGCGTCTGTCTGCGGACTGAAAGGTCCCAGGTTCAATTCCAGTCAGGGGCATGTACGTTGGTTGTGGGCACATCCTCGGTAGGGGGTGTGCAAGAGGCAGCTGGTCGATGTTTCTCTCTCATCGATGTTTCTAGCTCTCTATCTCTCTCCCTTCATCTCTGTAAAAAATCAATAAAATATATATTTTTTTAATTTTAATGAGTTAAATCTGAAAAGAAAGAAACATTAATGGAGCTATCAGCTGTTTAAGTGTGTATACATTTTTGGGACACCCTGTATATTAGCTTTGTCCATCTTTGAACTTTATATAAATATATGTATATAAATGTATTGTATATACATATGCATAGAACTTCTGGTCGAATTAACATATTACACTTTTATTAGTACAGATATATATATATCTGTATATATATATATCTACAAAGTATATACAAAATACATATATATATTTATAATATTATAATATGTATTATTTTGTGTCTGATATTTGATTACTATTACATTTATAATATTTATTCATGTTACATGTAACAGTAGTTTTATTTTTCTTATTTCAGTATATTATTACAGTGTATGAAATAGATCACTATTTCTAGCCTAATCAGGATAGACAATTAAGTGTTTTTTTTCCTACTTGAGAGCTATTAAAATAAATGCTACTCTGAGCATTCTTATAAATACACATCTCTGTTAAGTATGTAGCTAGAAGAGGAATTCTCAGAACATTAAGTATGTGTATGATCATTTTTAATCAATAATACTAATTTTCCAAAGGGTTGTATCAATCTGGCATATACTGCCATCAGCATACATGAGAGTTTTTATTGCTCACCATTCTCACCAAAAGCAGATATGATTAATTTGTAATAGTAGCACATCGTAGTTTTTTAATGTTTTTTTTAAAAATTAATGTATAATTGACATAAAATATCCTACTCATTTCAGGAGTACATCATAGTGATTTTACATTTATATACATTAAAAAGTGATCCCTATAATAAGGCTAGTTATCATCTGTCACCATACAAAGTTATTATACTATTACTAGAGGCCCAGTGAACAAAATTCTTGCATGGGTAGAGTCCCTAGGCCTGACTAGTGATCAGGGCCAATTGGGTCCTTCCAGCTGCCAACCTCTTTTCCCCAACTGCCAGCTGCTGGCCAGGGCTTTCCTTCATTATGCACTGCCCCCTGGTGGTCAGCGCACATCATAGTGAGCAATTGAACTTCCAATCTCCTTGTCAAACTCCTGAGGGGACACTTTACATATTAGGCTTTTATATATATAGGAGATTGCTATATTCCTTATCCTTTATAATACACAGATGACTTATTATTTTATAACTGAGTGATTGTATAATTCCCTTCAACTATTTTACTAACCCCCAACCTCTCTCCTCTCTGGCAATCACTAGTATGTTTCTTAAATCTGTGAGTCTGTTTAGATTTTGTTTATTCATTTATTTTGTTTTCTAGATTTTACATTTTAGTGAAATCATACAGTATTTGTCTTTCTCTGACTTACTTTATTTAGATTCATCCATGTCATAAATG